ACATTTAGGACGTGCTCTTGGGCTGAGTATTTGTGTGCATGCGTGGCAGAAGAACCCACCAGTGGTGAAGGTTGGGGTGTACCCTCACTCAGGCAACCCCACCCCCTCCAGTCACCAGATGGAGGTGCGCAAACTGGGGGCACAAATGATCAGATACCAAAAAAAAGAAAAGCAGAATAAAGCAACACCAACAAAGTGTATTGGCCACCTTTGTTCCAAGGTTCCCATAGCATTTTTCTGTGGTGTTTTTGCTCCCCTGTTTGGTCTTGCCATTTGGTCTCACCCTAGATGTCAACTCAGGGCCTGGAAGATTCAAAAGTACATGATTTCTTACTTCAGCTTCAAGTTCCACTAGCTATAAGCCTTCAAACTTTTTTTTTTTTTTTAAGGGAAATAAGTTTTATTGTTGAATGAACATCAAACCAGAGTATGATGCATTTTAGGCAACTACTACCATGACTGCAAAAAGGATGAACTCTTGCCCTTTATGTAGCTGGATGGAGAACACCCATAACCTTCATTTTTCAGTTACAATTTGGAGCCCTAGATAAGCCTTCAAACTTTAAAAATATTCCTAGCTCTGTGGTTCCAAGTTTTGGAGCTCTGCCCTTGATCTTCTTTGCCTGGTATTTGGTGGTATGGCTGACGGCGAGCTTTCACCTCCACCATAGCCGCCATCAAGCCTGCTGTGTAGTTTTAAATACAACTTCATTATAATCTCTAATACTAAAAAGTAAATAAATCATTATATTAAAATTTTATCCCTCACTCAGTGAGACTGCCTTCCCTTGCTACATTTTGTTCCCATAGCCCGCCCTAGTACTCTCAACAGACTACATAATCCTGTATTATGCTTATTTTGTGTTTCCCCATTAGTTCATAAGCTCCATGAGAGTCGAGATTCTTGTATGTTCTATTCACACGTGTATATCCAGTACCTGGGACAGTGCCTAGCACTTAGGAGACTGTCTTTAAATAATTTGTTGCTAAGTAAATTAATTAAATGTTAGGATATGTATTGTTGTTATTATGTGCTGATGAGTCAGTTCTTACTTGTAGCTCCCTTTTATAGGGTTTCTGAGGAGCAGCTGGTGGTTTTGAACTGCTAACCTTGTGGCTTGAAGTCCAGTAGTCCAGTGCTGATCCTACAGCACCATAGTAGGATATTTATTATGTCCTGTAGATATCTTTGATTAATTCTTCAAACCTTACACTTTTTATTTTTTTAATGATATACTGTGTAATTTTGTCAAGCTGTTTATTAAAATTACTGAGACAAATTGTATATTTTGTGGGATTTTTTTTCTTCCCCTGCTTTTGTAAATATTATGTCTTTTTCAGGGAGAAGCATCAGAGAAGCTTCCTGAAAATAGTAAAATATTCATCTCCATGGCAAAGGAAAACATAGCACCAGACTTTCAACAGACCAGGGACTCCTTAGGTAGGTTATTAGTTGTTGTGCTAAACATTTTAAATAAGCTGTTGTAAAAGAGATTTATCTTGGGGGAGTGTAGAGGGGAAGATTTGTTTGGAAGCCCAGTAACTCTTTCTGGAATCTTGCCTATTACAATGGGGTCCATACTGAAATATACTGAGAATGTTGTGCCTGTTTTATAAGATACTTGTTTGCTTATGATTTATGGGAATTTTAGCAATCACTGTCTGAAACTAAAGTGAACTAAAAGTTTTTAGTTGAATTTATATGTGTGTGCATGACATTGTTGGATAAAAATGGTAGACTATTAAAATAAAAAAATGCTTAAAAAAGATAAATGTTATTAGGTAAAAGACCATCTTAATTACTGATAACTGTATTAGGATTTTAAAGGCATTAAGACTGCAGCCATGCTGATTATTTAACTATGATTTCATATGAAAATATTTGAAAACTTTTTACCACATTTTGATTTGTTGGTAAGTATATATTTTTTTCCAAGAAAATGTATGTGTATTTTAATGTGTATCTTGTGAATTAATGATGATAATGGGAATTTTTCCATAAAAAGGAGGTCAGATATGATGAGTTCATTTAAAGTTCGCTCCTAGTCAGACATTTATGGCATCATTTCATGGCCTACACTCTGAGTTGTGAGCTGTTTTACATTTGTAGTCACTGGAGAAGAGGAGGGGAGGGTATGCTGATGAAGAGACTGGCTAGGTAGTGGGCTCTTTGTCTCTACCAGAAAAATAGCTCAGAGCAGATTACCCTTTAGTATCAGGTTTATAAGTAACCCTTTCAATTCTGATTCTCTTACAGACATATGAATGGTATACCACTTTAGTGAATTTAAGTGGTATGTTTGATTTGCTGTTGTTGTTCAGTGTCATTAAGTCAGTTCTGATTTATAGTGGTCCTATGATAGGTTTTCCACCAACCTTGCAGTTCAAACTGACCTTTCAGTCCAGTGCTTATCCTACAGTGCCATACCAGGACTCCATATTACGATTAAGTTCCTTAAAGATTAATGAGGTTATTAAATTAATCTTTAAGGAACTCAGTAACTTAATCCATATTACGATTAAGTTCCTTAGTCTTGAAGGTGGTCAGTTTTATTATCTATAATATGATAGAGATTAATGATAATCCTCTAACCCTTAATTTTTTT